TAATAGAAATAATATTAAAAACTAAATTATAATAAATATCAAATTTTAAAAATTATCTTTAATTTAAAATTGTACCGCATCAAATTCAGACGAGTCAGATTAAACAGGTATAGGTGCAAAATATTGGTATACAGAGACAAAAAAAAAAAAAAAAATACCTGCCATCTTCTTATTTGTTTATTAAAAGAAACAAACCTTTAGTTGGTTTTCCTAGCTTTAGACTATCTATCTTCGTCACACTTAGTTCTTATTTTTTATTCATTATTTTTTTGTTTTTATTAATTATTATCATCAGTTATTAATTAAAATTTTTACTGAAGAATTTTAACTAGCTTGGATATGTATTATCGTGTCAAGAGTTATATTTGTTTTTCAACTTTTGGACTGAATTATTAATTTTTTTTGAAACAAAACTACAGACCATGTGAAATGAATATTTTTTTATAAAAAAAAAAAAAAAATCATCATACTTGTAGATAATAGAGGTCAGAATAAATTCATATTTCTAATACATAATTATAAGCAATTAATGTTAAACATTGCTTTAAAATAATAACATTAATAGAGTATATGAGTATTTTCAAATTAAGATGATTATATATAATCAAAATATTTGCTTAACTTGAATTAATTATAATAATAAAATGTTTTTTTTTCTTTTAATTAATTTAAGAATTAATAATTCATCCGCAGCGGGTCGTCACCACCAACACCATTTGCGTCTCTCCTTGCGACAATCCCACTTGGGATAACAAATCATCTGAAACAAAATCCCAAAAAATCTCCATTAGAACATGAAGCGGAAGAAGTGGTCGGAGGTAGAAGAGCAAACCCTACTCAGCAAGTACTCTGATCTGGTCAACTCAGGAGCTCTAGCCAAGCTCAAAACCCGAGAGAAGAAGTTCCGACCCATCGCTGACCACGTTAATACGGTGCATCACCTGCAGGACCCCATTACCTTCCCCTTCAAGTGGTCCTGGCGCGACGTCTCCATCAAGGTCCAGAACATGAGGCACCAGTACTTAGGCGTCAAGCAGAAGATCAGAATCTCCAAAGACGACTTCAATTGGAAAGACGGCGTGAATCACTGGGAAAATTTTCTAAAATACAAGGAGGTTTTTGGAGACGTGGAGCTGGAAGCTAAAGGAAAGAAAGGCGGCAGCGACTTGTTCGAGAATTGCTGCGATTTGGGGATTGGGATGGAGTGCGAGGATTTGGAGGAGGAAGAGGAGGAAGATGCAGTGGGTAGTGAGAGTGAATTGGTTACTCGAGGGAAGGCGAAGAAGGGTTATGGAGGGTTAGGGTTGATTGGATCGCAGGTTTTGGAGTTGAGAGAAGCGATGGTAAGGAGAGAAGAGAAGAGAAGGGAAAGAGAGTATGAGAGGGAGATAAGGGAAGTGGAGAGGGAGGGGAAAAGAAGAGAGTGGGAGGTGAGGAGGGAAAGCGAGAGAGCAATGGAAGTGGAGGAAGAGAGGTGGGTTGAGAGGAGAGTGAGGATAGAAAGGGAAGTAGAAGAGGAGGAGGAGAGGAGGAGGAGGAGAAGGAGGATGATATTGGAAGAGGAGAAGGAGGAAGAAGAGATGGAATGGAGGGAGAAGATGGTGGGAATGCAGATGGAACATGAAAAGGGGATGATGCAGATGCAAGCAGAAGCATGGCAGAACCAGATGCAAATTGTAGGGTTGATGGGGAGATTGTTATGCCATTTTTTTGGGACTCCTACTGATGGAGCTTTAGGGGGTTTGGCTTTAACACCTCAGGTTTTGCACCACAATCCCAGTGGAGGATTACCCCACAATGCTAAGCCTCATGCCAACTCTCCTTCTGACTTCATCTAGGTTATGTGTATCTTTTTTCTTATGTCTCTTATAGCCTCTTTTCAATCAAGATTCCTAAAATTCTCTCCTCTCTTCAAGGAAGTTTGTTCATATATCTGATTTTCACAAAGATTCAGTTTTGCTAGTTTTGGTGTTGTTTGCTTAGTTTTTCCTATTCTTTCAAGCATTCTGTGGAACAAAATCAAATAGGATGAGTAAAATTGGTATACAATTATAACTTACATTCACCATTTCCAATAAAAACTGGCAAACTCAGAAGAAAAGGTTCCAAGAAAAACTGCTATAGTCCTTCTCTTCCCTACATGATGAAATGTTGCAATACATAATCTCCTTATTTGTCTTATAAATTTCTTCTAAGTTACACATTCATGGCCATGGCATCCACAAACAAGATCAACTGAAGACTCATTCCTCTACTCATGATCCATTTTAGTTCTGAGCTATACTAACTTGGAGATAGTGTACAGTTAACCATACAAATTAACCCGGCAATTTTCATCCCATAATTTATCCCTGATTAGTTCCAAACCTTATGATGATGCAGACAGAGGAATCGGCTTTACTGCACTCTGAATGCGTCGAAAAGCAGTCCTCACTCTTTCCTTGAGACCTTCATTTTCGCTCTCAACATCCCCATTCTGTTTATCGAGATGTGCCACATTGCCATCAACGCATATTACTAGTTTCCCGTCCTCTCCCAACTTTACGTCTCCAAAGAGCGAAACAAGAAGCGTGTAAATAACCTTTTCTATCTTCTTCTTGTTTTCTTCCTCACTTTCAACAGCCTCTGAATCAACTACTACCTTGGGACCTTCTCGACTGATATTAAGAATCAAAGCCACAATTGAATCTGACACCATATCGCTTATTGGATCAGATGTCCAATGCAGTGAAACATGCTTATCTGACTCATGCTTCACTGTCACTCGATCATGCACTCGCAATGTTGGAACCCCAGACTCTTCATCACTTGAAGATTCCACGCTCTCATATATTTTCTCCAGGCGATGCTTTATCACTCCAAATATACCTGTGTATGGGATAGTAATCCTTTGAGTAACATTCGCTGTTGACAGCTGTGAGAAAACATGGAGATCATCGGGTGCCATTATCTGATACGTGAAACCTTTTTTCACCAGAATACCGCTAACAGTATCACCTGCTTGTGGGGTTTTTTCAGCCAGTCTCCCAATGGTTTTTGCCATTTTCTCTGAGTTGAAGTACATCTCAACAGACTGGCAATTTTTAGGAGTTATGATTTTGGTGTTGCCATCAGTGAACTCAGTTAAAAGCTTCTGTTTAAGTCTACCCATTTCATTTGCTTCCCCATGAACAAGAATGACATTTGGAGGCATTAGCTCCTTCAAAAATGTACTTGTCTGAGCATAGTCTGCATGGGCAGAGAAAGATATGTAGTGTACTTGCATATTGAGAGGTGCAGCCAGGCCATTCATGAGAGTAACTTCTTTGGGCTCATTGATTATGGTCTTCGCCGGTGTCCCTTCAACAACATAACCCGGAATGACGCAAGCGTTTTTCTTATCAGAACACCACATGTCAAATAGTTGTCGGGATAATCCACTTTGAAGTCCACCAGGACTTGCCATAACTACAGATGGACCAACATCACTAAAATCATCAATGCTGTTCAAAGGGGAAATGTGCTTGAATATGAAGGGATTTGAGTTCGCAAACTGGTTACGGATCCTCTCGTTCATGGAAAGAATGTACGTCTGGTACACGGCCATACATCTTTTCGCAAGCGGAGAAGCATAGTAAATAGGAATATTATGTAGCTCAGGATGGTTTGCCCAATACTCATCGAGTATCAGGAGAAGTTCTTGAGCACGGCCGAGGGCAAATGCTGGGATTAGAACACGACCACCTTGAGAAATGGTTGAATGGATAACATCAGTGAACCGCTTTTCCCGAATGTGGCGAGGTTGGTGGAGCTGAACACCATAAGTGGATTCAATGATACATATATCAGGGGAGAACTGTGGGAGCTCAGCAGCACGGAGATGCCGATCTTCTTCACGAGAATAATCTCCAGTGTAGAGAACCCGAACACCAGCTATATCAACCATGAACATGGCAGCACCCAGAACATGGCCAGCAGTGTAGCACCAGAATTTAATGCCATTTACTTCTACAGTTTGATGGAAGTCAATAACCTGCGGATCATCAAAAAACCGTAAAAGTGGATCAACAACTTTAGTCGTCAGATAGTTTACTCTATCTGCAAAGAATGCATAAAGATTAATTACTTTTAACTATCACTACAAATGGTTTACACCAGTTTGTCTCGGACATACTTTAAAGTTTTTTCACTGTAAATGATGCAAAGAAAGAAATGCAAGTATTCTCAAGACTACTATCAGTCTGTCTATGGGTTGGGGATAAATGGTTACATTATATGGGCTCTTTGGGCCTAGTCATGATATAAATAGGGTGGAGAATTTTGGAGATTTTGTAAAGATATACTGACTGAGTTGTAATATTTTAA